GTGTTGGTGGCAGAGGGCCGGTTTCCTCCAAGCCGAGCCCCCCCAGAATAAGGAGAAGAGGGGGAGCGAAAGCTGCCAAGAGGGTGTTCCCCAAAGTCTCACCTTCACCGAAGTGCCCGCCACCCTCTGCGGGAGACTGACTCTATCACTGGTCCCCACCCGTCCCCCACCTCTCCCGTGCGGCCGGTGCAAGGGATAAAATTAGGAAAAGTTGGGTGGCTAAAGCTGGGTGGGAGTGGAGAGGCGCGCTGGGTGCGTTTTCTGGGCAGAAACCTGTTAGCACCAGGGTGGAAAGGGACTGCCTCCCAGGTCGGGAGGGCAGGCGCGGGGAGAAGACACAAAGGCGGTGCAAAAATCCTATGTAGGGCGCAGGAAGGTAGAGGGAGGTTGCACAGATGGCTACTACCAGTTTTATTTATTTATTTATTTTTTTTTTTCCAAGCCTCGGTAGTCTTCCCCGCCCTCGGTGGGTGGTGGGCTATTTGCTCCTGGTCCGTGGCCAGCAGGCGGCGATATGCTGGCTGGCGGGCGGGCCAAGGATCTGAAAGGCTGGCGGGGGGTGGGTGGCGGGGTGGGACCGCCTCCCCCCTCCATTCAGCAGCTGGTGGCAAGTAAAGCCACGGTTGTGTACATTCTCAAGGGGCTGCCTCTGCAGGGCGTGCAGAGCACCGGGTCCAGTTTTGTCTCTGGCCAGAATGCCAGATCTTTGAGTTATTTTGTGACCCAGTGCCCTTCAAGGTGAGGGCGGGCACTAAGGCCCTCCAGGGTGTACACACCCTGGGAGAGCACCCACCGATTGGTTCCATTGTGTGCCTCTGTCTGCCTTAAAATGAAGGGCTGGGTTAGAACCCAGACTTTGCCTGGAACTCTGGAGGTAAAAAGAACTCTGTCCAAACACTTGAATAGCCCTTGTCCCGGCAGCAGGGAGCTGGGGGCCCCTTGGATCTTGAAAACCCAAGTGTTTTCAGAATGCAGGTGGATAGAAAAGCCCAAATTTCCTTGAGGGCCGAGGACGGATTCATCTAAGGCTCCTGGAAGGAAACTTGGTGATAAGCCTCCAGTTTGAATCGGGTCTGTCCCTTTAATGTCTGTGCCTTGACAGCTCTCGGTGAGGGAGCACTTCCTTCCAACAGCTGTCTTCTTGGCAGAAAACCAAAACATTGGCTTAAAGGGACCCACAGACTGGAACAGCCTCACATTTCGGCTTTAGAACAAATCCCACAATTGTTCAGCTTTCCGGCCCCCTTCAGATCAAGCAGAAGATGTGTTTTGATTTTCATGCTTGCATTTTAAACAATAATTTTCGATCCCGGTGAGGGAGTAAAGGAGGAGAGAGGGGGAAGTGTAGACACGACGCTACATGTTTTTGTTGCTGTTCTTGCCCGGGACTTTGCGAAGCGGCGCCCCGCCCCCACTTGGGGTTTTAGAGTTCCTGTGGATTCTGACTTTGTAGTTAAGATCTGGTCTTTGTTAGATGAACACCTGCTTACCGATACAGAACTCAGGTTCATGGCAGGCGGGTTATTTTTCGGCCTTCGTTAGTAAAAGTGCCCCTTCAGGCTTAAGGACTTGAAATCAAACCCAACTGTGTGTCACTTGCTAGACGATGCTCCTAAAATGGGGATCCTCAATTCTTAAGCGTGGAGAGAGAAATACGAGTGAGTCTTTGGGACAAACTAATAATGACGATCAAAGCTTACCATTTGCGGAGCATCCGTCTGCTAGGCTCTGGTCTCCACGTAGTACCTGTCCAACTCCAGAACCCTGTGGTGTTCTCCCCATTTCAAAGCTGAAGAGATAGAGGCTCCGGAAGATTAAGTAACTTGCCCGGGGTCCCACAACTGGTGTGCGACGGGAGTCGGGATTCTGCCTGACCCCAAAGCCCAGGTTTATATTTCTGCCCCCGGCTAAAGTCTGAGTGTGGAGGCTGAAAAAAAAAGTCCAGCGGTGTGGGGGAGGGGGGAACTCCCGGATGTATCTAATTTCGAGAACCACCGTGCAGTGCCGTCCACATCCGTGTGGATGGATCCACGATGATTGCGCACTGGGCCGGCGCCTGACGTGAGAGCCTCTCCGTGGACCTCAGGGTAGCCCCTCTTGTGTCTCCCCAAGAGAATGACTCCCCTCTCGTTCTTAGATGATGAAGATGACGAAGAGGAAGACGAGGAGGAGGAAATTGACGTGGTGACCGTGGAGAAGCGAAGGTCCTCCTCCAACAGCAAGGCCGTCACGACCTTCACCATCACCGTGCGGCCCAAGAACGCAGCCCCGGGCCCGGGGAGGGCCCAGTCCGGGGAGCTGATTCTCAAGCGCTGCGTCCCCATCCACCAGCAGCACAACTACGCCGCCCCCTCCCCCTACGTGGAGAGCGAGGATGTGCCGCCCCAGAAGAAGATCAAGAGCGAAGCATCGCCCCGCCCCCTCAAGAGCGTCATCCCCCCGAAGGCTAAGAGCTTGAGTCCCCGCAACTCTGACTCGGAGGACAGCGAGCGCCGCCGGAACCACAACATTCTGGAACGCCAGCGCCGCAATGACCTGCGGTCCAGCTTCCTGACGCTCAGGGACCACGTGCCAGAGCTGGTGAAGAACGAGAAGGCCGCCAAGGTGGTCATTTTGAAAAAAGCCACCGAGTACGTCCACTCCCTCCAGGCCGAGGAGCATCAGCTTTTGCTGGAGAAGGAGAAGTTGCAGGCAAGACAGCAGCAGTTGCTAAAGAAAATTGAACACGCTCGGACTTGCTAAACGTTTCTCGAAACTGGACAGTCACTCTGCCACTTTGCACATTTTGATTTTTTTTTTTTTTTTTAAACAAACATTGTGTTGACATTAAGAATGTGGGTTTACTTTCACATCGGTCCCCCTCCCCGTCGAGTTTGGATCTGGGTGGGGAGCAGGACATGTGGGGTTCTGCCGGGACCTCGGGAGAGGGCCCGCATGATGGGATGCTGGGTGGCCCTTGCAGTTTCCTCCATGTCACCTCCGAGACCGCGGTCGAAGTTCGTGACAGTTGGGAGCCTCTGGGCTGTTGAAGTCACCTTGTTTGTTCCAAGTTTCCAAACAACGGAAAGTCATTCCTTCTTTTTTAAAATGGTGCTTAAGTTCCAGCAGATGGTCACGTAAGGGGTTTGCCATTTGATAACCCCTGGGGAACATTTCTGTAAATACCATTGACACACCCGCCTTTTGTATACGTCCTGGGTAATGAGAGGTGGCTTTTGCGGCCAGTATTAGACTGGAAGTTCATACCTAAGTACTGTAATACCTCAATGTTTGAGGAGCATGTTTTGTATACAAATATATTGTTAATCTCTGTTATGTACTGTACTAATTCTTACACTGCCTGTATACTTTAGTATGATGCTGATACATAACTAAATTTGATACTTATATTTTCGTATGAAAATGAGTTGTGAAAGTTTTGAGTAGATATTACTTTATCACTTTTTGAACTAAGAAACTTTTGTAAAGAAATTTACTATATATATATGCCTTTTTCCTAGCCTGTTTCTTCCTGTTAATGTATTTGTTCATGTTTGGTTCATAGAACTGGGTAAATGCAAAGTTCTGTGTTTAAGTTCTTCAAAATGTATATATTTAGTGCTGCATCTTATAGCACTTTGAAATACCTCATGTTTATGAAAATAAATAGCAATTAAATGATGCAGCTTTTTTTTTTCCCCCCCTTAATAGCACTAGTTAAGCTCTGTCCCTTAAACACAAATAGTCCACGTGTCGTAGAGGGAACTGGGGTTCTACAGGTAGTCTTTTTACATCCGTGCAGTTGCGGACGGGCCACCGTCCTCACTTAGGGTAGAGAGAACTGAGGTTAGGGACGTAAAGGCATTTGTTCCAGTTTATGCAGAATGGAGACGTCATTTGTGACCATGTGTTATAACTCATGGCATTCAATAATTTACTAAACGCTTTCATTTATGTTTCATAGAATTAAGTGGGGACACCAGACTTGTTCAACCGTTTAGAGCGAGAAGTATAATTAACACACGCAGGATGGTGAAACTTGGCTATGTCAGTACTACTTGTTTAGTTGGCGGATGGCTTTATAAGCTCATGTAGTTTGTCTCCAGGACTGTGTTCTTCAAAATTCACTAGGATTTGAGGTTGTACGTTAGGCATTGTAGCAGAATAAAAGAGGAAGTTGGTTCCTTCCCTGAAGGAACATTCAATCTGATGCACAAAAGGAACTCCTGGGGCAGAAGTTGTATGGTCCAGATCAAGTGCCCATGTTCCTTCTGGAGAGACACCGGGGCATGTGTAGCTCTGTTGGCTTCACACAGGTATGAAGGGGGACAAGCCAGGTTAATGAATTGGAGGGAGGCACAGTTGGGCTAGGAAGGAATTTCTGAGTTTCCCTGTTGGGAGGTGATGATACCTTTGCTTAAGAGGCATTCAGCCTCTCAGAACTGAAAGCTTACAAATAAGCTGTGTCTCTTCGGGGTGAAAAGCGGTGCTCGGTCATTTCTCTAAGGTTTCATTCATCAGAAGTTTAGCTCTGAACTGACAAAAGCCTTTGCTAAGAAGACAGGTCCAGCCATGATAATGCTTGCCTTGGTCACACAGCTTGGGGGGAGCAGTGATGGTAGAATCCAGGTCATGTGGGTCCCTGTCTGTTTTGGCTACTTTATAAAGGCCAGTGGGGGGTTAAAACTTGAGGTCCTCCTCCTCCCGGTTTACGGCCACATGTCCTAAGGCTCTAAGGTTGGCAGTACGGCCGTGGACATTTTCTGATGGTCAGAGCATGTTGAAAGTCATGAGAATCTCTTGTTTAATCTCTCCACTCGCCCCCTTCCCCCACTAGAGAATAATGAAACTTCTTTGAAAGACCTTTTTGAATTGTCGTTCCAGAAGACTTCCTGTCCATTTGCCCCAATCCTCTGCAGCCTCTGCAACCTTGTTTGTGTACCCATGAGCCAAAAGAAAGTTAAGTGGCCTCCAAGTCCTTGAGATTCTTGAAGCTCTGTCCAATCATCCTGATTTTTGTATTTTTGAGTCGATAAGGGGCCTACTTAGGTGTTTTGGATGAGATGGAACTCTGGCCATGGAAAAGGAAAAACCATTGCGATGAATAAGGCTCTAAGCTCATTCCTACCAGGTTCTCTTTTTGCTCTGGCTGCTGGGAAGCTCAGAGCCAAATCCCGTGCCCTCATTCTACATGTCTGGTGCCCATCCATCCTTTTCTTCTAAAGCCTATGATCTCTTGATTTTCACTGTTGGTTTAGCCTTTTGCTTTATTTTGTTACACTGAAGAGACCTTTTTGCATTAGGCGGGTCATAAATAATGTATTATAATATATACACTAAGGTGAAACGCCATTTATTTGCCTTTCCTGGACCAGCTGAGGGAGAGTGTCACCCAATTTAGCTCTGCAATTATCTATAAAGTAATTGCTGTGGTCACAGAAGAATTGGAGAACTCATTTCAATCACGTGAGAAGCCATCTCTGTTCCAAGAGCGGTTTTGAGCCTGAGGAGCTGCTCTACATGAGTTAGATCAATAAACGGTAGGACTTAGACGGAGCATAGAGATGATCTCATTGAATTGCTTTATTTGATAGAATGGGGTCATGGGATCCCGTATCGAATTAGCGGCCCAACCCAGGACTGGAGCCCCGTCTCCAGATCGGCTCGATGCTCTTTCCACAGTGTTGGCTTTCCTCCTGTTTACCCTATTGCCTCCCGACCCCTGGGCCACCCATCCACCTACAGCGTGCTTGCCTCTCTCTTAATTCTCGATGGCCGACCCTGCATAAGAACTTCCAATAGCCCTCCCCGTGTAGAAGATGCAGTTCAAATCCTTCAGTCTGGCCCATGAGGCTGCTACCCCCACCCCACCCCCACCCGCACCCCTACTTGGGCTCAGCAGCTCCGTCACCACCTGCCCCTCCACAGGCATTCTTGTTCTAGCCCCGCCAGGTGGAGCAGGGCTTTCTTACTTCACACGTTCTCTCCTCTTGGGTTATCCAGTTTCCGTTTCTTGAAATCCTTTCAACGTTGAATGGCAGACCCAATGCTATCTTGGTCAGGTGGTCGTCCCCAGACCCCCAGGTGGGCCTCGTCCTGCTCTTGACCTGATGTGGCTGCTGGAGATAGAAAAGCTCTCCGCATCACCCTGAGACCTGGACGGGAGGTCCCCAAAGGCAGGTAGTGTCCCCTTCACCTCTAGTCTTCGGCCCCACTTGCCTGATGACTGACAGATGACAGGACCTTGGCAGATACCAGCAGAATGGCTGCTGAGTAGGCAGCAGAGGAAGGCGTGAGGGGAGGACCAGCCAGGGCAGAAATCGATTATGTATGTGCCTCCTGCCGGCTCCGATCTGCAAGCTCTCAGGCTAATACAAATGGGGAACCACACCCCTTAAGGCATCACTGAATGTCTAGCGCTGACGGCTGGAAGTGAAGGCAAATGCACGTGGAGGTCTGTCTTCAGGAAGCCCACAGTCTGGAAGGGAGTTAAGTCCCCGGGCCTAGTGCAGAAGCAGGGGAGACAGGAGGGACCGATGGAGGGTGGAGGAGTGTTGAGCCAAAGCACGAGAGAGGGTCCTATGGCTGAATCGGGCTCTGTGCCTCCGGGCTCTGGTGGAACCCTCTCTCGGTTGGAGGAAGCTGGCTTGCTGGTCTACCACAGTCCCGAGGAGGCTCGTAGATTTACCTGAGGTCAGTGACTATTTGTGCGGTGACGATGGTGCAAGACCCCCCGCCCCTGGGGAGCCCTGTAGCAGTCACTGAGGGCTTCTAACACTCGAGTCTCACCACCCTTCAGGAGTGTTGGCCAGCTCATCAGACACCCATTTTTGGGAGCTGGGTCTTCTGGGTCTGACTTTCATTCATGTCTGTGGTGGCTGTCTTGAAAATCCTGTGATTTTTTTTTTTTAAGTGTGTTTGTTTGTTTGTTTTTGAGGGGTGGAGGGACAGAGAGAGGGAGAGAGAGAATCCCAAGCAGGCTCTGCACTGTCAGCGCAGAGCCCGACGTAGGGCTTGAACTCAGACCGTGAGATCGTGACCCGAGCTGAAATCAAGAGTCACACGCTTAACCGACTGAGCCACCCGGGTGCTCCTTTGGGTTGTTTTTAGAATCAGAGGTTATTAGATTTGGAACAGGCTCAGAAGCCGTCGAGCTCAATGTACCACCTCAGAAGTAGGGCTGCAGAGAGGAAACAGATGAGTATAGAGTCTGCTCATGGGCAATCTTTCTTCTTTCTTCCTTCCCTCCCTCCTTCTCTCCCTCCCCTCCTCTCTTTCTGTCTTCTCACAGTGAATGTTTCTTTAGCACCTATCTTGTGTCAAGCACTGTTTTAGGCACTTGGGAAACCTCGGGAAAAGAGGCAGAACTCCCCCCAGATCCCTGCTTTCATGACTTTATAAAGTCTGGGAGAGAGTGACCACAGTGAGAAGAAATGTAATACGCAGGTACAGTAAATAGCATTCAATACGATGGTGGAGGCTTTGAAAGGGAAGGAGGGATTCGGGGAGGCACCGCAGGAGGGAGGCAGGTTGCCAGGCTGAGGAGATGGTGGGGAAGGTGGGTGGGGCTGAAACCGGGGGCTGGGTCCCAGAGGGACGGCACCCAGCTCTGAGCTCGGCTGCCGGGAGCCAGGCCTCAGTCTTCGGGGTTCTTCCTCCAGCATCTCCCTCTGGACGTTGGCAAATGTTCCCCCCACCGCTACCCCACTCCGGCCTCTCATTTACTCCCTCAAAGGGAAGCAAGAGAGTGGATCTGGGGCGAG